GCTAGAAAGCAAGGGAATTTGTCTCTTCCCAAAGTTGTCTCTCCCTTAAACACACCTACCCCCTTCCCTTCACGTGACACAAGGCAGGCACCTTCTGCTGCAACTGTAGTGTCTGGGAAGACAGGAGAGTTCACAGTACCCTGAACTCATGGGCACTACCTCACAGCTGAGGATGCTGCCAATGGCAGCAGTGGTGGAGGAGCCCACAAGGGTGTTCTGTGGGAAGGAGCTGAGGATGGGGCCGGGCAGGGTCACCACCACGGCGGAGGGCTGGATGACAACGTTGGAGCTCTGGCACTGCCTGACACAGGGCTCGTTGAAGGTGTTGGCCAGTGGGGTTTGGCTCCAGGGCCCACAGGGCAGGCACAAAGAGGGACTTTGCCTGATCTGTCCCTGGAAAAACATTAGAGCTTTGGGAGTTGCCCTAAATCCTTGCCCTGTTCCTGTTCTCCCAGACACAGTTGCTAGGCCATGAGAATCATGTTTCTGTGGGGGATATGAAAATCCTGGTTCTTGAACTCCAAAGGTGTCTGACTCAAAGCTGCTTGAGTTGCCCTGTGCCACCCAGTGAGTCTCTCCTAAAACCCCTAGTGGAACAACACCTGGATGTCGGTCCATTTAGTCCAGCATCCTTTTGGTGGGAAATCTTGGACCCTGCCTCACTCAGCACCAGACTGATGAGCTGTACAGGTGCATCTGTTCACTGCCATGCCAACATCATGCCCATAGCACCAGGGCCAGGCTGGATGTGGGGCTGGGTGGTCAGGGGCAGGGGCTGTTTCCAGACTGGGGCTTCCAGAGTCCGGGCAGTACAGCCACAGTTGCCAACTGGAGCCCGTGAAGTGCTCTCTTTCTTTTCTACCCTTTGTTATATGTTGTTACATCTACTGTTACTGCAGTTCTTTACTGCACTGTCTGTGTTGTATTAAATTCTCCTTATCTCAGCCCATGGGGGATTGTATTTTTCTCCCTTCCTTCCCACCCGTGTGGGGGAGTGAGCAGCCATGTGGTGCCTGGCTCCTGTGTGGGGCTAAACCACCACAGGGGCTCTGGATTGGACAAGGTGTGCAACAATTAAAGACCATCATAAAGAGATGGCAGGAGTAAGAGCCAAGGCTGGGGAATGTCCTCTCCCATGGCAACCACTGGGGATCTTTACG